TACTTCCCCCCCCCCCCCCAAAAAAAAAAAAAAACGCTAACTTTGGGAAAAATTAATCCCCAAAATCAACAAATCATCAACTTTGTTGGATATGGCGAGTAAAAAATTGACTAGGTTGTTATGCAGTTACAAATTAGCCTATCAAAGTTGATTTCTAGGTAATCTTTTCCAAAGTTGATAATTTGGGGGGTAGTAACAGAATGGAATGGAATGGAAAAATAGGATTCATGTAGCCAACCCTAAATATTTGGAATAAAGGTTTTGTTTTTTATTGATTGATTTATTTTGCAAATATTGGCATTTTGGTGAGTAATTTCTCAAATGCCCATGATTTAAGGGGTATACAACAACAACAAAGACTTTATCCCAAATATTAGGGGTCGGCTACATAAATCCTATTCTTCCATTCCATTCCTATTATGAGACATCTCCTTCGTTAAGTTAAACATAATATTTAAGGGGTGTATGTACCAATAAAAAATAATGAAATTTTAAAGAGACCTCACCCCTCAACATTGACAAGAGCCAAATTATCTATAGTAGCAAAAGCTCTGACACAGGAACCTGAACTCTCTTCATCTCCATTTCTACTCCCGGGCTGATGGCAAATCATTGTTCCAGGGGAAGAGAGATTGAAAACATTTCTAATTACAATAGGAGTATTATACTTCATTACAGGAATAATGGTGCGTGGATGCAAAACGTTCGCCCCAAAGTAAGACTGAAAAGATAGACTAAAGGTCAGAAAGTAATATTGCAGGAAAGAATTTAAGTGATTTTAATACGCATGGTTAGAAACTTAACCATTTCCCAGGCTTCTTGGTAGGACAATGTTCGCAATATCACAGCTTCACTAACTGCAAAGGCAAAGAGTTTTTCAGTGCTTTAATTTATCTCAAGCTATTCAGCCTGTATAATATAAAAACCAGCGTAGTTTACACTAGACATTTCAGAAGAAACTACTATAATTTAATTCAGTTAAAATTTAGATGAGAGGTACTACCTTCAGAACTAGTAGTAGGTGAGTAAACAAAACTGACTGCAACATGAATTATATGTTCTAGATTTGAGCATCTTAGCTGGCATAAGAACAAGGTAAATTAGCAAATTTCTTGCACCAACTACACTGAATTTGAACCTAAACCAAATTGACCCTTGTAGAGAATAGAGAAAACCCTAATTGTTTTATTGAGAATAACAAGAGAGATATATATAGTCATACAAATAGGGTTAAGGTTAACGGGTAACATCCCATTAACCCAATACCCAATATTTAACTTAACACTCCCCCTCAAGCTGGAGCATAGATGTCTACCATGCCCAGCTTGTCACATATAGTAGAGAACACCTTTGAAGAAGTAGCCTTGGTAAGAATATCAGCAAGTTGTTGTGAGGACGGAGTGAATATGAGAGATACTATCTTCTTCTCCCAAGCATCTCTGACAAAATTACAGTCAACTTCAATATGTTTTGTCCTCTCATGAAACACAGGATTCTGTGCAATATAAATGACAGACTGGTTGTCACAATACATTGGCATGGGTCCAGGCTGAACAAAACCAAGCTCTGTCATAAACTTTCTTAGCTACACCATCTCACAAGCAGTGTGAGCCATTGCTCTATATTCGGCCTCTGTACTAGATCGTGATACTACATCTTGTTTCTTGCTTCTCCAAGTCACAAGATTACCTCCAACAAAAGTACAAAATCTTGAGGTTGATTTCCGGTCTCCCATGTCTCCTGCGTAGCCAGCATCAGAGAAAACCGAAATGTGAGTATGCCCATGCTTCTTATATAACAATCCTTTGCCAGGGCAACTCTTGACATATGTCAAAATCTTCAGAACTGTTGTCCAATGAACCTCTCTAGGTTTGTGTATAAACCTGCTCAATACATCTACTGCAAAAATAATATCAGGTCTGGTAACTGTCAAATATATTAGCTTCCCAATTAATCTTCTATATCGTCCATCATCATCTAGGAGAGAGGTATCATCACGCCACAAATCAACATTTGCCTCCATTGGAGTGCTTGCAGGTTTGCATTCCAAGAGACCTGCTTCTTCTAGTAAATCTAGCACATACTTTCTTTGGGACAACAGGCCATGTTTTTGATATGCAACTTCAATCCCAAGAAAATACTTTGGCTTTCCCATGTTCTTAGTGATAAAATGATGGTTTAGATACTCCTTAGTCTCAGTTAAGGCAATAGAGTCACTCCCAGTCAGCAGAATATCATCAACATATACGGCTAAAATAACCAAACCAGTTGTTGTGCGTCGAAGAAAGACAGAGTAATCAGACTGACAACGTTGGAAACCAACATTAGAAATAACATTGCTGAACTTATCAAACCAAGCTCGAGGACTCTGCTTTAACCCATAGATGGTCTTTCTCAGCTTGCAGATAATATTCTCCCTCTGAGCAACATACCCAGGAGGTTGCTCCATATAAACCTCCTCGTCCAAATCACCATAAAGGAAAGTATTCTTCACATCTAGTTGGTGCATCGCCCAATCCATATTAACAGCCAGAGTGAAGAATTCTGATGGAGTTGAGACGAGCAACGGGAGAAAATGTTTCAAAATAGTCGACGCTATATGTCTGGGTATAGCCTTTTGCAACCAGGCGAGCTTTATAACGGTCAACAGACCCATTGGGGCGATATTTTAGGATATACACCCATCTGCAACCAACCACAGTCGCTCTAGTAGGAAGAGAAACCAAGTCCCAAGTCCCTCTAGAAAGTAGTGCATTTATTTCCTCATCCATGGCCTGCTTCCAAGCTGGTACTAACATAGCTTCCTCATATGACCTAGGTATAGATATAGTGGACAAGGACAAGGCAAACTGACGAAAAGATGGGTTGAGACGGTCATAAGAGACAAAAAGAGATATAGGATATTTCGGGCAAGATCGTTTACCTTTTCGAAGAGCAATAGGGATATTCAAGTCAGAAGGAATAGAGGTCTCAACATGAGATGGATCGACAGCTGGAGATGCAAAATATTTCCTGGTAGACGAATGATAACACCTATATCCTTTTTTGAGTACGAGAGTATCCAACAAAAACACATTTGATGGATCTAGATGACAACTTATCCAAACCAGCAGTTAAATCCTGAACAAAACACGTAGAACCAAAGACACGGGGAATCACAGAGAATTGTTTTTTATCGGGATAAAGACAATTGAATGGTATTAAACCATCAAGGACAGAGGAAGGCATGTGATTAATCAAATAATTTGCAGTGAGAACAGCATCAGACCACAAATACTTTGGAATATTCATATGTATCATCAGTGTTCTAGCAACATCTAGAATATGCATATGCTTCCTCTCAGCAACTTCATTTTGTTGTGAAGTGTGAGAGCAAGAAGTCTGATGAATAATGCCATTAAGAGCACAAAATTTTGAAACATCACTTTTCATATATTCCAAAGCATTATCAGTACGAAGAACACGGACAGAAGTAGAGAATTGAGTTTTTATTTCATTATAAAAGAGTTCAATAACGTGCGAGACCTCTGACCTCTCTTTTAACAGATAAAGCCACGTCATGCGAGAGAAATCATCAATAAAGATAATAAAATATCGAAAACCTTGCACAGAGGGAACACGATAAGGACCCCAGACATCGGAATGAACCAACTCAAAAGCAAAACTACTACGTTTATCGACTCGACCCTGAAAAGTAGCACGATGGTGCTTACCCAGTTCACACGACTCACAACCTAAAGAGGAAATAGATGGCTGAACAGAAACTACCGATCTAAGTTTTTATAGTGAAGGATGACCCAGACGCCAATGCCACAATAAAGTGGAGTCAGACTGTGATGCAACAAGGCCAGCTTCTGACACACTGTCGTCCAAATAGTACATACCTCCTCTCTCATGCCCCGAACCAATCTTCATCCCAGTTGCTAGGTCCTGAAAAACACAATAAGATGGAAAGAATGTGACTTTACAATTATTTTGTTTTGTAAACTTGCTAATGGATAATAGGCTAACAGGAAATTTGGGAACATATAACACATCAGTTAGTTTTAAAGAGGAAGTAGCATGAACTACTCTATCACCACGAACTGGAGAAAGAGTACCATCAGCAATGCGGATAGAATGAAACTTATCAGAAAGATGTAAAGATACAAAGTAATCTTTTATACCTGTCATATGAGATGAGGCTCCAGAATCTAGTACCCAGGATTTGTGAGAAGAAGCTATGTAAGCATCCATACCTGAAGAGGATGCATGAGTAGCAGAATGAATATTCTGAGAGAGTTCTAGCTGGCGCAACCTCTCATAATCTGCCTGAAAAATCTGAACAGTAGGAGCAGTAACAGCTAGACCACCAGAAGTAGTAGCAGAAATAGATGAGTTAGTCGACTCTGTATCAGCTACCTGGGCTCACTGAGGACGACCAAACTTCTCCCAGCACTTCTCAGAAATATGATTGGTTCTCCAACAATGACCACACTGTCGTGAGTCCTTATCAGATTCACCTTGCCTCCCACCAAAGGAACCACGTCCTCCCCCTGAATCACGACCACGACCACGACCACGACCGCGGCCTTTGCCTTGATTAGAGAACATGGCAGACTGATCCATCGTAGGTGGAGATGGTGTAGTAGTATCAGAAGTAATACCAGTAGAGACCTGCATGACTCTGGAGAATGTAGCAGTCAGTGAGAGAATTGTATCTCCACCCAATATCTGTCCTCACCTGGGACTGTAAATTAGGGTTCAACCCAGAAAGAAATTTGGATACTGTCAGATCACGACGATACCCTAATAGCGTCGCTGCATCAGCTACTGCAGGCTGATGCATCTCTAGTTCGTCTATCAGTCCCTTCAATTTACCAAAGAATTCCGAAACTGACTTATCTCCCTGTTTGAGTGCAAACAGTCGTTCATAAATTTCAAATACACGAGAAACATTCTTCTCGTTCCCGTACATAATCTTTAGGCTGTCCCACATCTCCTTCGCAGTGGTTAAAAACATAACGTTGCTACTGATCTGTGCTTTCATACTGTTGAGAAGCCAAGTCATAACACAATAATCAGATGAGAGCCATGAATTGTAGGTGGGATCTGAGGTTGGTGGTGGAGATGCAAGAAGATGTGGTAGTTTGCTCTGAGCGCCAATGAAGATGCGGAAAGCTTGTGCCCAGAGCAGATAGTTTGCACCATTCAATTTAATAGTAGTCCCCAAGACTACCTTGGGCGCAGAGGTCTCACCAGCAACAATCGAAGGAGTAGTAGAGTAGGAGATGTCCGACATCGGAGTAGTAATCATTTTTTATTTTTGAGCAACAATAGGAGACAAATAGTAGTCAAATAGGCAGATTAGTAGTAGAGATCAGTTTTCGAAACATAAACTAAGAGCAGATCAGGAGCAGGATTAGAGGCAAAGTGGTAGATAGTCATGCCCTCACGCTGCGTAGGCGAGATCACCTGAGGGAGAGAGCCCTGGCTTTTGTTTGCACAAATGCTCAATTTCTATATTCTTGTTTCTCGAAGGAAACAAGAATAAAAGTGAAATATCTCAACAACGTGAGATAGACACTCTTCCTCTCATCAGTTCTATGACTGAAATGTCGAGGCTTCCTCTTATCAGTTCTATGACTAAAATGTTGAGGGATACAATCGTCCTCTCATCAGTTCGAAGACTGAGATGTCGAGGGAATAGGGAACTAGATGCAGGGGCACTGTAGCACGGCACTGTAGCGACGGTGGTACTGTAGCAGCAGCCGGTGGTACTGTAGCAGCGAGCGTTGGTACTGTACCAGCGGGGGCGGCAAGGGTTTTTGAATGAAGATTTGTGACGGCTAGGGTTTTATGCTCTGATACCATATAGAGAATAGAGAAAACCCTAATTGTTTTATTGAGAATAACAAGAGAGATATATATAGCCATACAAATAGGGTTAAGGTTAACGGGTAACATCCCATTAACCCAATACCCAATATTTAACTTAACAACCCTAATGTAGTAATGACTATGCACCAAATAGTCCTCTCAGAAATTCCTTCTTTAAAGCATATATATGTTTTACTATGGTGATATGAAGTTAGATAAATCCAAATCAGGCAAATTTATGCAAAATACCCAACCATGTTTCATATGAAAAATAGAGAAGAGAAACCTTTTCTTGGGTCTGCACTATATACACCATCAACATCTGTCCATATAGTGACTTGGCGAGCTTCAATAAGAGAACCCATTATCGCTGCTGAGAAATCACTTCCATCTCTTTTCAAAGTCGTAGGAATGTTTTTAGGCGTGCTGGCAATGAACCCAGTAGCAATTATTGTATCAGCTGGCTCATTAGTAAACCACTTTTCAAGTCTCTTCTCAGACTCAAAATAGTCAGGGTCTACTTGATTGGAACTGGTAGGATTTACAATAAGGACATCTCGAGTATCCATCCAACTGCAAGGTCTTCCACTCTGCACCAAAGAGAGAAGATTTAGATTAACTTTTCAAGTCTGTTAATTAATTTATAAAAAAGTTATGTAAATAGCAAACCTTTCTAATCACATATGACAACATTTGAGCAGACCATAATTCTCCATGGCCTACAACAAAGTCTGAAAAGGATTCTGTTGCATGACCCGCTGCAAAATATGTGAAGGGTGTCAGGAAAAAAAACACTAGATATATCAACATGACTACCAAAACACTAACAGAATACAGACAAGATACTGCATATGCACTAACTAGTGAAAGGAAGAAGCAAAGAATTTGGAAGCACTAATCATGAAATAAGAACAAGATTGCCTCAATACATTTCACATGAGCTTGATGAAACCAAATTGAAGATTTGTAATATACTTCTTTTAAAATCGCCTACACATATTTGTCTAAACAAAAGCAGGGTGCTTTTCTGATCTCCACAAAAGATGCAAACAAAATAAAAAAAGATAACCACAAAAAACAACTAATATAATACTGGTTTCGGGTTGATATGGTTCTGTTTCAGCTTTACTTCACAAATGGCATATTTTATATTGGACAGTGATTTCAGAGACAAATACAACAACAATAAGTAATGCACACTAGCTCGGATAAAGAAGTACTACTAGCTACATGTATTGCACACACAGAAACTCCAGTCCAAGCTGATACATTTCAGATACCCATTTAACATACTCCAAAATTTCAGAATCTTTTTCCTTAAGCTATACAACTGCAAGTGCCAAAAATGACATAGAATTTGGTGGTGTTTAAGCTATGTTACCAGCCAAGTTCAGGTGTCAAAATGAGTGTGTGTAGTAGATGTGTGTCTTGAATATCTTATATCTAAGTGGTTATCCGAGAGACGATCTAGAAAAGATTGAATTGGGACAAAGTTTTGGTGTCACGCCACCATCATTGTCAAATAATAATATGTATAAGATGTCAGCATATCAGCATATCAGAAGACTTAGAAGTAAATCAACCATCCTATACTATACATGCATCCGATACTATTTTACCTTAGTGGTAAAGTATATAAAACCAAGAGTTAGGCAGGACATTTATAACACTAGAGATGTAAGCAAAATGTAAAAAGTAGGAAGTCCATCTCTCACAGCATAGGAAGATCACCACGGTATATCTAGTCAATTAACTTAGCATGGTAATAGAACAAAAGTAATGAGCAAATCAACCGCTCATAATTTCAGAAAAACATGGTACACGACAACATAACTAAAGAGCATAAATCCAGTGATGACTAAACAAATCTTTAAGCAAATGAAATTAAATCAATAGTAGTGAGAGCAACTGAATAGTTGATAGTTCAAACCTATATAAATCGCCTGAAGCATCGCTTTCAGGTCGCTGATGTCATTCTGTAACTGAGATAAAAATCTAACAAGATCATCTCCATCAAGAAGCTGCTTTGCTGTTAACATGTGTTTTTCATAAACGGCATCAAGTGCTGATATATATTCAACATCCCTCGATTGAGCCTTCTCAACCAAATTATACATCATATCAGTTACTTTTGACATTGCAGAAACCACTACCAACTTTCGTTCAGAAGGATCACCCAAAATTATATTTGCAACGTTTTGAATCCTCTCAGCAGTGCCCATACACGTCCCACCAAATTTATGAACAGACCACATATCGCCTTTTGGAAGGGAAGAATTTTCCGTGGTTTCCTCAGGGGAAACAACTGCGTAAATGAAGAAATTTTACATGTGAAATCTTTTTTGTAGAAAACATAATTAAATAATAAAAGTTTCAACAATTAACCAACTCTATTTAAACAATAAAAACACAAGGTGGTATGTATCATGATCTCAAAAGTAGAAAAAGGGTAATATGTATGGTGCATAAAGTAGAGAAGGTGTAAATAAATGTCACCGACTCACAGTAGAGGGAAGATGTGACATAAAACTAGTCAATGCAAGCAAGCAACAATTAAAGAAAAAAATTTGCACCCAACTAATTGATATGTTAAAGGCCAGTTTAACAAACGCATTAATGTGATTTAGAATGAAAAAAGGAGCATCAAAACAGGCGAACTAATAATAGAGATAAGTGGTTCTGCCTGTAATATTTGTAAACACAGCTTGGCCACACAGAATGAATGTAGCTGTGAATAAATGCTGTCTCGACGTCCAACAAAGTTCAGTTAAGAGATAAAAGACTATAATAGACATGGCTTCTGCGTCTTTAACACAACTTAAACATCATGTTGATAAGAAGAAAACTATAATCCAAGACTCTTAGTTTATAGCTGAGTAGCATAGAAGCATTACCTGCAACAGAGGCAACTTGGAGGCTCTTAGACATGGACTTGCCAGCCTTTTCCAAAGAACCTATGCTGAAATAATTAAGATAAAGCATACTTCGTCAAATTTAATAGAATTCAATCAGAAAAGTACAGTAGACAGCACATCATCTTATAATCAACCACAAAAAAAAGACTAATTTTGTCATCCTAAAGGGAAAAAATACTAAGTAAACCAGATGGTTCTCAGAAGCATCTAATTAAATCAATTCAATGTAACATTTACTAAAGGAATGACTCAGATGAAACAAAAGGTTCAAGCTTCCAAGCATTATTCTTCTGTACATCGCACTTAAATATGTAATGTCCTAATATATAAGTAAGTAACCCCCAGAAACCTTATTTTGCTTGAAAGATGGAATTCTACTCAATTAAACACAACATCAATAGAATTACTAACCTCAAAGTACCAGAATAGCGCCATCTTTGAGGCTTGTAACTGCACTGACTTCTCTGAAGAGTGTGCCTGTATAGCATTTAGGAAACAGAAAATGTAAATTAAAACATCAGAATTTCACAGCGGAGGAGACGGTAGCATAATGAATAAAGAAATTGAACGAAGAAATACCAACCACTTCCCTACAGGCAAATTAAAATTTATAGCACCAACTTCGTTGAAAAATATAAAAAGATAAACACTTTAAAGCGACCCCATATCCCATTCATTAATAGAACAAATAAACACTGTAAAACAGAAATTTCATCAAATGGGTTATCTGTAAACAATCCACGTACGCATCTTAAACCGCTCAGCTACTCAAAGATGAAATTTTGAATGAAACCCATGTCAACCCCCCTCAACACAAACCCAAAGCAGTAATCTTGAAACTAATCACAGTATAATAATTCAAATGCAGCGCCAATTCGGAACCTGGGGAGAGGAAGAGGGAAACGAGGCTCGTTTGCGCGGGAAACTCGCCGGAGAGAGGAGGAGGGCGATGGGGAGGTGAGCGCGAGGGAGCTCATCGCGGGAGCGGAGGAAGAGATTGAGAGGGTTTTGGAAAAAACTTCTACTCGTTGAGTTAGGAATGCATTGGCTTTGAAATCCAATGGACGAGATCACGGGCTCCTATGGGCAGGGGGGGCCCACATTGATGATTGGGGGCGGGGGGGGCTCTTGGCACCCGCATGTATCAGTATTTTTATATTAATGATGAGATCCCGGACAAATTTTTAAAACCGTCCTATTTGCAAACATATTCCTCAATAAACAATCCGTTTCAACTTTATTTGTCAAAACCTACCTGGTTTCAGCACTGGGACTAAAACTAGGTTGGTTTTGGCAAAAAAAATTTCTCAAACTTCACAAGAAGTCCCGTGAAATTTAACAGTTATTTAACTAAGCTACTAAATTTTACGGGACTTCAAGTCCCGTGAAGTTTCACAGTTTAATAAACTTCACGAGACTTGAAATCCCGTGAAGTTTATTAAAGTGACCAAAATCCCACACGATTCTACATCTAAAATTATGTAACTAGCCCCTCGACTTCTCAACAAATTTACACAAAAACATATATGTACTTACTTGCTGCTAACTACACGGTACACTAACATGGGCCCACCAATCCCATCCTTCAAAATATTCTACTTGCTGCTAACTAGAGGGTAAACTAGCACATGCCTCGGTCTCAGCCCTCTTCACACGTGTGAGGAACTCCACGTAACCCACCTCCGCGCTGAACTCCAACCCGCGCACATCTCGGCCACTTTCTGCAAGGAGGAAAATAAATTCAAACAAACTCCGCGCTGAACTCCAACCCGCGCACATCTCGGCCACTTTCTGCAAGGAGGAAAATAAATTCAAACAAAATTCACGGGGCTTCAAGTCCCGTGAAGTTTGTTTGAACTACGAAACTTCACGGGACTTGAAGTCCCGTGAAGTTTAGCAGTTTGGTTAAATACCTACTAAACTTCACAGGACTTCAAGTCCGATGAAGTTTCGTAAGTTCTTTCTTCAAAACCGACTCAGTTTCAGCCCGACGGCTGAAACTAGGTCGGTTTTGAAGAATATTTTGAAACTAGGTCGTTTTTTGGGATTATTTTTACAAATAGGACGGTTTTAAAATTTTATCCCTAGATCTATAATAGGACAAATTTTCAAAACAGTCGGATTTATAAAAATATTCTCAAAAATGACCCGTTTTAACAATATTTGTCAAAACCGACCTAGTTTCAGCCGTCGGGCTGAAATTGGCTGAAACTAGTAAAAATATTTTCTTTTTTTTTTCTTGTTTTTTGGTTTCATATAGTTTTGAAGGTAGAGATAAATGTTGTTAGAAAGAGAGAAAGAGAATCTTTTGAGATTTTATTTAGAAACAAAGAATATTCATATAATAATAAAAATAGTTCAGAGGTACTTTCCAGATTTGAGGAGAGGAAAAAATTCATGTTCAAGCACTTCGGCTACTATTTTTACTTCTGCGCAAACAAACACGCCAAACATGGTTTTGAGGTTCCACGCAGACTTAGTTATTTATTCAACTTTGAAGGAGCAATTTGAGACTCTCGTTCTCGTGGACAGGGTGGTGGGCCAAGGAGCTCCTCCCTCCTCGCGTCATAACTTGAGATCTTTGTCCTGCTTAATTAATTCTGTGCTTTGCTAATGATTCAGATTTTTAATTCAAACTTTCTTCCCTAAAATCCTAGTAAATTTTATCTATCAATTTTATTCAACAAGACCGTAGTAATCAAAACTTACCAGCTTTGCAATCGAATTGTACTTCAATAAAAATCTATTTTTGGAGCACCGAAGCAAGTTTCTATCTATTTTTTATAAGATTTTTTATTGATTTGTTTTTCAGGGTAAATTGCGCTAAATCCTCGTGAACTTTTAGTGTTTTGCAGTAAAACTGTATGAACGTAGAAAATCTTACTAAACCCCCAATAATTTTTTCGTTTTGCAAAAGGCTCCCAAAAAGTTTCTGCATCTTGCAAATAGCACCCATAAATTCAAACCATAAAACAATATTAAAAGGTATTTTGAAAGTCATTAGAGGTTTAATGTAATTTACCCAAAATATATTGGGATTTTCCGCAAAAAGTATTTAGGGTTTAGCGTCATTTTTAAAGTTCATAAGGATTTACCGTAAAATGTTAAACATTCATGGGGGTTTGGTGTAATTTACCTTATTTTTAAATAAGTGCAATTACTTTTGTTTTTCTCTACAGCGGGCTGTCTGTATGATTCCTCTTGACATTAAATTTTCTTTATTTATAGGGAAAATTGCTTGGAGGAATATATTAAAATAACATTAATGTCTCAATGACCCAAATAGGGGACCCAAGGCATGAGACATGTGAGGTGTCATCATCCGGTTGCATGATGCACTGTTCATGAACAGTGCATCATGCAACCGGATGGTGATACCTCAGAACAATGCATCATGCAACCGAATGGTGACACCTCACATGTTCCATGCCTTGGGTCCCCTATTTGGGTCCCTGTAGCAACACCCTTTAGTCATTTTTAAGCATAGTATATAGATATATTTAAACTTTTGATAATATTTGCATTAAAATATAGTGAAATTCAAAATTTGTTTGTATTCTGTTTACTTATGTCTAATAATATTTTCTTGCGTTTCAATAATAATGATAATAATAATAATAATAATTTCTTGAAAATAAAATTATCATTCTATATAGTTCTCTCTTATAGCACACGATGTGATAGCTATTATCTGTTAAATCATACAATGGAACAGCAGAAACACATTCAAACAATTCATACTCAACCTTAAAGCTTCACAAATACGCGCAAATGTTCTCCTAGAACTAAATTTATGAATAATGCAACAAGCTCTTGCACATATATACGCACAATCTTAGAATTGTTCGGTTTCCACTGACCAAGAAGTATAAACACAAGCTTATTTCTGGAGCTTTGTTACAATGAGCCAAAATATGGGACAAGAGGGGGGACATGTGAGGTGTCCCCGACATTATGCAATTGGAGGGGGGCACCTCACATGTCCCCCTGTTGGTCCCATATTTTGAGTCCTTGGGGAATTTTTCTTATTTCTGATAGAGAGAAGGATATGATCAGATAAAAATAGCCCATCAAACAACAGTCAACTCTATGCATGAAGGGAAAAAATTTTAACTAAAATTTAAAAATTTAAAGGTATTATTCAGTACAAAGAGGATAAGGAACAAATTTCTACAGGTAAATAAAAAAGCAAGTACAAACTGAAGAGGCATTCAATTTTCAGGGGCTTCTTTCCCAACAAAAAAGATTTCTACAGAATGTGAAGAAGCCAGAAGGATAAAACCTAAACAACAGCAACCTAAACTCATTGATCAAACCTAGGACAGGAAGACTGGATAACAACAAAGAAAAAATTTGAATACCGTGAACTGTGATAACTTACTTGAACTCAACACAAACCAGTTCCAACTGCAAGTTTGCTAGCTTCTATTTCTCGCTAGGGTAAATGGCAGATAACCCCCTCATCTATGCATTCAGTAGAAATTATTACCCCTCAACTCTTTACTAGTACTCGTCATCTCGCGATTCATGGGGAGAGGGGGCTTTCTGCAATTAAAAATAGGGTTATGCAGCCAGACCTCCTTACCATTGCCCAGTTGCGGATTGGACCCCTGTAGTTAGTTGCTGCAGATAGACTCCCTGAGTGAATCTTTTTACTGTTTTTCCTTTTTTACTATTTTACCTCTAGGAGGTCTGTTTGACAAACAACAAAAATAAATAAAAATAAAAAATCTTTCTTTTGACAGTGAAAGAGAACGATATATTCACTCAGGGGGTCTATCTGCAACAATAGAAGTGCAGGGATTCTATCTTCAACTGACCCTTAAAATACCAATCCATGGGTAAGAATTCCTAACAAAAGGGTTGAGGGGTGGTA